CTGAGGACGGCCCGCCCCGGCGGGTCAATCAATGGACTTTAATAAAGTAGTTCAATGTACGGAGTCCCTGCAGAAACTGAAAATAGAGACCGGGGCACCCTCCCACCCACCCCTTCTGTTACGGGCTCAACCCGTAAGTTGGGCCGACTAGTTGCGGAAGCTTGGAATGGTCGTGTGGGTGGAAGCTCGACTCAAACGCGAGAAGTATTTCTGTATTCGGAACTTCGCAATCCAACCCATTTTATAGTAAAGGTTTGCAGGCTAGTGCTGCAGCCTCCTTACTGGCTGGCAGTCTGCAGTCTTACTTAAAGTGGGCGTCGGGTTAAAAAACCCGATTTCCGGGACCAAATTTGGACATCGGCTCTGCGACTTTGGGCAGATTGACCGAACTGGCAAGCGCGCTCACCTTGTGAAAATGTTTAGATCCATCTCTTCCCGGTTCGATTCGACAACTTTGACATTTTTGCTCGCTTTCGCCCCTTCCTTTTTGCGGCCTTCAGCAGCTGACGTAGGATGACGTAGACCCTTCGGAACCGTGGTACCTTCCGGTACCGGACCTCCGGAGAGCATCCGGTCCCTGCCTGAAGGCCTAGGTTCGGTTGGTACCCGTATTCCTGAACGGTCTTGTACCGCCTGATCAGATTGAAATCCTCGACGTCTGATGACATCTCGGAATTGTCGATCGCAGGCGATGTGACCGTCCGATCGGGGTGGACATGCATGTTCTACGCCCACTTTAAGACTGTGGCAGACCACGCAAGGGCGCTCCCCCATACAAGGGCACTGCCCTGTCAGCCGCCGCGTCACGTATGACAGGCTGGCTTTTGACAGTCTTGCAACCTTGTATTCGGATGGTTCAAGGATCCTTTAAGATTATGCACTTGATCAGTGACCGAACGAGTATAGTCTATAGGATTCTTAGTAAGCCGCAGCTTTCTATTGAATCCTAGATGCCTTTAGTCTATTAGTCTATCTCGCTCTTAGGTATGGTCAATACATTCGGTATAGACTAATACTAATCGGCATCATGCCATTATTCTATAGTCAGTATTAGATATACTCTATACATTCCTATTCAGACTATACGTAGATACACTATACTAATCGGCATTTGTTCGCGTGGCCTAATAGGCACTATAAAAGTATACTACTAGGGAATCTTAATAGAAGACGTATCTTAGTAGCATTACTACCGAAGTGTATTGCTACTATGTAGTCTTACTATATAAGAGACCTTTGATTAGTAGTATTTCCTATAGTCGGGCCTTTTCTTAGTAGTATTAGTTGTTGCCTTAAAGTCTGAAAGGTCTCAAAAAGTGAAGTGGTCTCGTGGCTCGTGTCAAAAGTCTCTTACAAGTCAAAATGGGCTGAGAACCAGGCTGTTTAGCCTGCGCACTGTAGGCCCCGGCAGTATTGCCTAGCAAGCAGTTCCGTTCCGTTCTGTAATGTTCCGTTTGGTCCGTTTTGGTTCGGAGTACAGCGTGGCGGTTTGTCCAGAGGAGTTCAAGTCGGACGTAGTCCGAGCTGGAGTGGTCGAAGGAAGGGAAGCAAGTGGCGCGTCCAAGACCATGTGCGCAAGTCGAAGTGTCCAAGATCGGAGTCGCGCACGTGTAGCAGAAGACACGTGGCAGGTTGTAGATAGAGGCGAAAATTGGGGCAGTGACGTCGAGTAGAAAGAAGGAAGGCGAAGGTAGGAAGGAGCGTTTCGTCTGGTAGTGCATGTAAGAAAGTCCTGGGCCGTAAGACAAGTCAGAAGGGGATAGGATCGAAACTAAGCGTATCATAAAGACGTGTAATCAGCTTCGATGCGAAAGTAGGTCCTAGGAGGAGACTTGAGAAGTGTGCAGAAGAAACTCAAGAAGATTGTGACTCGTAGGCTCAGGAAAGAAGATAGGGAACAACACAATTCGGGAGGGAAGGAAGAAGCACCACGTTTAGGAGCGCCTCAACTCATTTTCTCTACACGTCTCAAGCTGCTCTCGTTCGTGTCTTGATTCTGTGCATCATCCAACGCGACAGGCTGCTTGGCGCCTGGCGCGCGCGCGTGCTACGTGACTCATACTCATACAAGTCGAGGGGGAAGCACAGTACCCCTTGCACTCTCGCAAATCAGCATACAAAGGCGCGAAGTTCAGCAGCGCCTTCTCTGCATACGTTCGTTTTGGCATAGCACTCATTCTGTGGTGAGCCTGAAGGTTGCGCAAAGACTAGACTACATCAACGGAACCCCCCCTCTCAGTTTTTGAGAGACCGCGCAATCTTGGTTCCGTCCCCGGGATCCATCGCCACAGGAAGTGCTCTTCCGGTCGTCAAACCGGAGGAGACAGAGTGCGAGCAAAGACGGAAGCGCTCAAGAGACGATTCCAGACTTTACGTGGAGCCTTTCAGCCAAGGTGAGAAGAACGTGCAAAAAGTCCGAGCATTCCGTTTGTTTGACTTTCTCGGGTAATTTTGGGCTGAATTGTCTGGAAGGTGAGTTTCTCTTGAGGGTTCTTGAGTTCTGAGCTGAGGCCTTCGTGCATGTCGTTAAAAGGATGGGTCCAGACACCAAAGATGGAGAGGGAGTTCGTTCTCCTGAAGCCCAGCAAGGCATTGGCCTGGCTGATCCGAAAAACCAACCTGAAAGCCCCGAGAACGCCAGTCCTTCTACCAGCCAGCCCTTTCTACCTCAAAATCCAGAAGATAGTGATGAGGAGAGAATCAAGCAGGGCCTGGACGAGACAGCTGCTCTGAAATATAAAGCTTCCTACTATTATGCTCTCCAGGAAGAAACTGCTAGCTTGAGGGGAAGAATGGATACCTTGTCAGCCAAGCTCGAGAGAGCTTCGGAGAAAAGCCTCCAGAAGAAACGCCAGAAGCACAGAATGCTGTCCTTGTAAAGATGATGGCAGATTAGATGCAAGCCTTCCAGCAAACCATACAAAGTCAGCTGCAAGCAATGCAACAACAGATTGCTAAAAGTCCAACGAGGATAGAAAGCTACCGGCGTGTCTGCAAAGCCTGACCTATTGTCACCCCGAGCTGAAACGTCATTCCATGTAGCTCAGCCTGTCCCAAATAGCCCTAGAACTCCTCTCGAAAGTTTCAAGAACAGCCAAGAAACGTTTGGGACCAGACTTGGACCTTCCTCTCCGTTGCTTCAAGAAAATCCTACAACAAATGTCACAGCCAATCCTCTTTATAATGCCTCGAAGTTGAATAACATTGGAGCTGAGGCTCCACTAAAGCCCTCTTTTCCTGTGCAGCCAACACCTCCTTTGACCTTCAGCGAGACCCAAGTTCCACGTGTCCAAATTCCACCCTTAAATCAGATGCCTAAATATGATGGCTCGGAAAAACGATTAGCAGCCACGTCCTGGTTAATTGACTTAGAACAAATGAGGCCTCTCTACAATCTGCAAGATATTCACATAGTAGCTCTAGCAAGATGCTCTCTCGTCGGAGAAGCCCGCTCGTGGACAGAAACTCAGCCATTTAACCAGACCTGGGCCCAGTTCAAAAAAGCCTTCTGCCGAGAATGGGGGGAAAGAAATCAAGAGAAGTTGTTCGTTGAGATGCTTAATCATCAGCAGGGAGATTCCTCCGTTGGAGAGTATGCTACCAATATGTGCAGGTACTTCATGCAATTGGAAGTCTCGGGCGAGAAGCAGAGGGAGTATTTTGTCAAGAATCTCCGACCTGGAATTAAGGAGAGCACCTTTTCTCGAAATCCAGTCACTCTTGTCGATGCAGTTGAAGTGGCCCGAGAAGCCGAAAACATGTACTACACTGTCAGCGGGAAGAGAGATGAACGTGGGACAGAAGTCAAGGAGATCAAGAAGAAGGTCGAGATGCTCGCCCTTCAAAAAGCCAACTCAAATACTTCAGCTGTAAATGTCCAGGCTTCCTCTTATCCTGCAGGTCGACCACTTCGATGCCCCAAGTGTTTGCAAGAAGGACATGCGATTCTTAGGCTTTGCAACAATGAACCGAGAGTTCCGTTTCTCCCGTGCTGTAACTATTGGGGGAGACATCGGTCAGGAAGCTTGTGTGAAGGTCAACCGATCCCTCCTTTGCCCAATAACCCGAGGAGACAAAATAACCAGCCTAACTGAAACATGATGGAGGAAATTCCCCTTTCTTATACTGATTCGGAAAGTCCAGAAGCTTCTGATGCGAGGCACGAAGTCTTTGCAGGTGAACCTTCGTCCGATTCCGCTTCTGGAGAAAGTGATTACGTCAGCTCTGACGTAGTATGTCTGATTCAGAAGACGAAGAGATCTTTGCAGGTAAACGGGCCCGGGAAAATGGCGGTCCCTCCCGTGGTGCTCCTGGAACAGCTCCACCTTCTAAACGTCAAAAAAAGACGCCTCACACAGCTCGCATAAGAAAAACCCGCCTAAACTAGTCAAAAATCCTCTTTCCGAAGACCAGAAACAGAAGATCCGGGAAACGAAAGCCAAGAACCGAGAGACGCTGTCCGAGCAGATGCAGGGAATCGCGCGAGCACCTTTTAAAGACTGTTCACAAGCAATTTCGGCGCACCATCATGTAAAACATTTTCGAACAGATCTGCACAGGTACTTGGACAAGCTTCTCTTTCATTCCGTACACGAGAAGAAGGCGTGCAAGCCCGCGCGCGCGGCAAGTGGACACATGGCAGCAGAAGACGTAGTCGGAACACCTGGGCAGTCTAACGTAGCCGCTTTCACTCACAAAGAAATTATCGTGAAAGACTCTGTTTCTCCCCAGTCCTTTGTGCAGGATGAAGGTGACGGGACGGATGCGCTGTCCGCCCGCGTCTCGCGCCACGTGGCACCAGCAGAATCAAATCTAACTGTGTACTGTGGGCTGCAGAACGCTTTTCGAAAGGATTATCCTATAAGGACGGAAGTCATGGCAGAAATCGAAAGATGTGGGGAAGTGCGGATAGGTTTGGACTCCGGAGCCACTTTCTCTGGCATCAACTTGAACGTCAAGTCGAGCAAGCGGGGTTTGCGAAAACAGTCAAGCCGACCAAAATGACCTACAGAACGTCTTCGGGGGAGATTCGGCCAGCCGAAGGAAAGGTGGTAGTCAAGCTGAGAATCGGGTCTCTTATCATCAAAGCTCCGATGGCCGTAATGCCCCGTGAGTGTTCGTACAACGTTCTGGTTGCTAGTGACATCATGGGACCCTTAGACGTGGACATCTGCCGCAGTCAGGATGCTGTCTTGTTTCACTTCCAAGTCGTGAATTTGCCATTCCGCTGTTAATGAAGCACACAGAACAGAAGGAAAGCCTTCCCGAAAGTTACTACGTGACTACGGTTGATGACTACCCAGGCCCTTGGCTCGATCTGGTGCTCTCGTTTGAGGTTGCAGTCCCAAAAAACGTGAACAGTCCGCAAGCCCTGAAGGCCTAGGCGCCAAACCTGTGCGATCACGAAAGTTCTTAGAACAAATTCATGATGCTCCGTATATTCACGGGGTAAAGATCCAGTCAGAGCAGGACCTCGAGCTTGCGAGGGTGTGGTGTAAAGCCAATCATTTGAAGAACGGTCTGATCAAAAAGATTGTCAAGCAGGCGCGGCGTGCTTTACGAGACCCGGCAGTCCAAGGAAAACATGGTTGTACCCTAAAGGAGCGTCAGAACCGCCACCGGAGCTGAAGTTGGTTAGGATTAAACCCGCCTCGGAAACCACCTTCGAAACATACTCTCAACAGTCTAGAAAACAAGAATACACAGCCGAAGAAGTCGAGAAAATCTTAGCTGAGATTAAGCTAGGTGCAAATCTGACAGACGACCAGAAAGTTGAGTTGTCAGCAATGATCAGGCGAAATATTCACGCTTTCAGTCGGGATAAAGAGGATTTGGGTTACACTACCCTTATTGAGCATAAAATAGATCTTGTCAATGACACGCCGGTCAAAATGAAGCCGTTCAAGCTTTCATTCGAAGAACAGAAAGTAGCAGCCGAGTTCGTTCAAAGATTACAAGGAGAGGGCCAAATTCAATACAGCAAGTCTCCCTGGTCTTCTCCCGCCTTCCTAGTAGTTCCGAAGCCAAAGCCTAGGGAATACCGTTTGGTTTGTGGTTACAGAAGTCTAAACGCCCAGACCGTCCGTGGTCTATGCCCTTGCCTTTCATGTCCGATCTACAACAGCAATTGGGACAAGCCCGGTTCTTTGCGATGATGGACATCACAAGTGGCTTTTATGGCGTGCCAATGAAAAAGGAACACAAAGAATATACAGCCTTCTGGTTTCGGAATCTTGGACTATTTGAGTGGTTAGTTATGCCTATGGGTCTGAAGAACTCGCCCGCTACTTTTACCCGATTACAAGAGCTTATCTTTCCGCCTCTGCAGTGGAATCGTTTTCTGAAAGTGTTCATTGACGACATGTGCGTGTTTGCGCACACTTTTGATGAGCTTCTGAGCAACCTTCAAAAAGTATTAGAACGTTTGATCTGGGCCGGTTTGAAGTTGTGTCCCCCAAAGTGTGAATTTGGGTCTGATTCGGTTGATTTTTTGGGTTACCGGATCGGGGATGGAAAAATGACCATGTCAAACAAGAAAACAGAAGCCATTCGAAAGATTCTTCCCCCTTCAAATGTTAAGGAATTGCAGCAAGTTTGGGTCTATGCCAATATTATCGAGTGTTCATTCCAAAGTTTGCTCATATAGCCCGTCCCCTAACTAGACTTCTAGGAAAGAAAGTCAACTTTGAGTGGTCGGAAGCCTGTCAAAAAGCCTTTGACTTCCTTAAAAATGCTCTTTGCTCTTATCCCATCCTTACCTGCTACAATTCGGAATACCAGTTAGTTCTTGATACGGATTATCAAAAGACAGCCATTTCTGCAATACTTGGTATGCGTAATCCCGCACATAAGAAAGAACAAGCCATAGAATACGCTTCTTGTACTCTCAGTCAGTCAGAACAAAGGATTTCCACTACAGAAGGAGAACTCAGTGCAATTATTTTCGGTTTGCGCCGCTTCTCTGTTTACCTTCGCGGGCGACCTGAGTTCGTGGTTAGGACTGACCATAGAGCGTTAACCTGGATCGAGATTTTGAATCCCACTTCCGGAAAGTTGGCACGTTGGTTGTATCTAATCAAAGATGAATTCAATTTCAAAGTGGAGCACAGAGAAGGAAAAAGTCATCTTAATGCAGACGCCTTGTCTCGAGCGGTCGCGGAACATTTGCAAAACAATCCTGAGGTCGAACCCGTCTGATGTTATCAGCCCTATACTTGCAGATTGGCAAAAGAGTGAGGAGCCAGCGCTTTTTCGAGACCAATGTGCAACTGTTAAGATTTTGCCGGCCATTTCTCAAAAGTCCATGTCTCGTTGTCTCCACGTCTCGTTTATGACAAACTTTCGTACGTTCTACGATGATGCGCACACCGGCCTGCCTTGGATAGTCATTTGGCATCCTACGTTTGAGAAACTCCACAGTGCTTGGTTCGGTTACTTTGCAGATCCGGATGATGCCCTGGCCCATCCGGAACTGTATGAGCGGGGACGAGACAATCTCTGGAAGTTAGCCCGGGGAGAATTGCTGACATTCTCGGAAGCCCAAACGTTTATCCAGTCTGCGATGGAGGTTTGCGAGGACATGGACGTTACAAGTCGAGGTTGGTTCTGCCTTTCTACTTACATTTTCCTTCTTATGCAGCAGGGCTTGCTTAAGCAAGGACGACACAAGAGCGGTCTACGAAGATACCTTTATACTCTACACAAAAGCGAACTCGCCCCTGAAGAGTATGCGGAACAAGTGGTTTCAATCAGCGTCAACCTGTCTGAAATGCTTTCGTTGAATTGATAGCCCTCAAAAGCCTTTATAATAACGTCAGTGTCTCTCATGGTGACGCAGGTTTGCGGTGCCCATGTCCGGAGACAGTCATGAGGATCCAGTCGTCGTGAAAACGTCATCACGCTTCGAAGAAGTCTTCGCCGGAGAGAAGCGTAAAAGTCCTTCCCCGCCACGGGACGACCAAGGAGAGGCCAAGCGAAGCGAACCTCTGAAAGGTGAGCGGTCGGTTTCTCGAAAGTCTAAGTCTTTTCGGAAAAAGTAGGTCTAGGCTATTCTGATGAAGACCAGCAGCGTAAACGTTAGAAAGATTACCAGGGCTTGCACGAGATACGACACTTTTTAAAGTCATCGGAACTGCCAGCTCGAATCCTGGGAGCGACGACCCGTTACAACTTTAAAAGACGAGCCAGGGACTTCGTAATTCTGAATGATGAGCTCTATATAAATGATAGAAAGCATCAGCCCTGTCGAGTCCTTTGGGAGAACGAAGTGCTCCCAACTCTAAAAAGTTGTCACCAGGAATAGGCTCACTGTCCAAAAGACAAAGGCAAGTTCCGGATTGAGGTGGAAGAAAGGTTCTTCTTTCCTCAGCTTAGTAATATCACAGCAGCCTTTATAGTTCATGTCCCGACTGTCAAAAAGAAAAAGCCGGCCGTGCAGAGCGCAGTGACCCGGAAATGAATTCGATGCCCCCTGTCTCCCCCTTTTTCAGAGTTCATTTAGACCTTTGTGGCTACTTTCTGGACGCAAAAAAGAAGAAGAAATATATTGCAGTCGGTATTGACGCTATGACCAAGTTTGCATATGCCCGTGTTCTTCCCAACCAAAAAGGCAGCTACGGTGGCAAAAGGTTTTAAAGAAGAGATACTGCTGCGACATGGCTGCCCTTTCGAACGGGTTGTTAGTGATAGAGGTACAGAGTTCCATGAAGAATCTGAAAGTCTACTGCGTGACGAGAAAATGAAACAGATCAGAGTTCGCCCGCGGAATCCAAAAGCCAATGGACAAGTGGAACGTTTCATGCAAATACTAAAGTCAACTCTGAGAAGCATGTGTCACCGAAAGCCTACCGATTGGGAAAAACACGTGTCCGCCGTTGTCTTTCAATATAACGTCACTTCTCAGGAAACTATCAGAATGATTCCGTTTATGTCACGGTGTCTTTATGGTCGTATTCCGATCACACCAGCCGATCAACTTTTCAATTAGTCTTACCGTTCCTCTTTCTTGGATGCAGAAGTTAACTTTGAGGCACAGCTGGATAGACTGAAGACGTTGGAACATCTACAAAGACAGTCAAACCTTCTAATTGAACAGTCGCAAATCAAAGAGAAAGAAAATTATGCAGGGTGGAGTCTTAAACATAAACCTCGTTCTGATCCTATAAAGCCAGGCGATCTTGTCATTATGCAAGCAGCTGGAGCGATCCGAGGGTTCCGACTTCATTGGGACGGTCCGTTTGTCTTTGATGGCTGGTCTGGTCCACCTGAAAACCGAATCGCTATCATTCGAAATCCAGATTCCGGGAAGATTTGGACGCGCCCGCAAACCGAAATCCTAAAGTTCACTTCAATGCAGTAATTTCTGGATACTCACATTTTTCCGTTGCAAGGGAATCGAGCTGAGACGGAAGCGGAAGCGGAACACGAGAATGACCTCGAAGTACCCTGTATCATACCGCCAGGTCTTGATGGCTTCCGCAGCGGAGCCGCGGAGACGATTCAGATAAATCAGAACCGTCAAGGAGACCAGTCAGACGGCGAAGAAAACCTAAGAGATTCCGTACTAAAGACCGCCAAAATTCATGTTCCGGGGACGACGAGGAGACGAGGCAGCCCCCGTTCGGAGCTGAGCCAGACGCGACCGCTGCCGGAAAAGCTGCATGTGAGCAACCCTCTGTACCCAACGCCCAAAACGTCGAAGAGTACGACTCCGATGTCAAACTGGAGTGGGACTCGACTTGGGGAACTGCTCAGCCAACCGCAGACGGAAAAGACGGAAACTTTCTTGCGGTCAGTCAAGAGGCCCATAGAACGCGTAGGTCAACTAAGCTTGGGACCCCGGCCAGTCGGACAATATCTTCCCACCCCACTTACATGCCTTCCTGAAAAAGCCCTTCTGAACGTTCTCAGCCGTTTAGATACGGACAGTGTGTGTAACTTCGTAAACGTCTGTCGGGCCCTCCACGTGATTGGACACCGTCTAAAATGTCTGCACTTTGCGGTGTATCTCGTGTGTCTGAAGACTTGCTAGTCAAGATGAAGCTACTCAACGAAACAACCGGCCTTCCGTTCAAACCCTTGGACCAATCTTCCACACATTCAGCAGCCATCCAGCTTACACTGGCCATGCATTTGCATGGGAGACTGCCAGCTGGAAGTGACTTACGGCAGCAGTTGCATAAACAGCTAAGGAAAATAATCCTAGACGGTCCTCTTTTTGAACAAGCAAGTCTTTCCGTCGGAAAAGTCTTTCCAGCTGATGAATCCAGAGTGGATGGATTACCTGGAGTGGTTTCGGTCATTCGGAAGCGAGGGAGAACCGAAAGTCGACTTGATCGCAGACCTGGAGTACCGGAACCTCGATCCCGTGCTTGAGCGAGGGCTGTGTCTCGAAAATCCATACAGTATTAGCTACCACTTTCGACAGTTTTTCCCCAAGTCTCAAGGGGGATTGAACATTCTGTATGACAATTCACAAAAGCCTGTCTCGTCCTCAAAATTGCCGCTACAGATCCGACGACATGCGGAAGAGTTAGCGCGGGCTGAACTTTCGCCGGAGCGAGCTAATGTCCCTTTGATGCGGCAACATGTAATTCTGCATGATGTTCTGCCCTCCGAACTGCGATCTTTACCAGGGGTTTCTATCGTTACAAGTGGGGCCGAGTCCACCCTGACACGCACGGAAACGTCACCGGAGCGAGACATGCCACGAGACAGCCCGGGAAGTCAGCATGTCTTCGTAACTTCGCCAGCGAACCCGTCCCCAAAAGCCCACACGGAGTCATCAATAGCCCCTCCGTCGAGTGCCCCGATGGAAGTCGAAGCTGAAGACCGGGAGAAAGCCGCTATCCGGGAACGTCTGAGAGCGTCGAGAGAGCGGGAAGTTGTAGCAAAACCAGAAAGACAGTCGGGCTTTCAGGGTGCAAAAGTCACGGGTCAGGTGGAGATGTCTCGCGCTGAGGAAAACGTCTACGAACGGTTAACGAGGTACTTCCGCTACCAGGCAGTGCTCAGCTTAGCCTTCAACATAGCCAAAAGACGTCACAATCTGTTGAAGAGAAATCCTGACGCCATAGACGGATATGCGCAGAAGATGAAGGAGCTGGTCGATGGGATTTTGCACTTCCCCCTCCTCTGGAAAGGCAGTCGCGAAAACCGAATGGTGAAGTACGCGGCCAACTTGTACGAACTTTACTTCGAGGAGTGCGATTTTGACCGTCAGTCCCTAAAGTCATTCATGGAGGCGGACTGGAAAGCATCCGGCCAAACCGTAGAGAGCCCTCAAGCCTAGATGGAAAGAACGGAACCAGACTTCGCAGACCTCGCGCGGCGCCAGTTAGCCGCTTATTGGAACCGAGCAGAAGGCCTTCTTTCGCATAGGGTGGACCTGCCCCTTTTCATGACGTGCTCGGAACCTGCCCAAACAGCCGAAAACAGAAACAACGCCCCCAGTTCTCGTAACTTTTCCCCGGAATCAGTCACCCGCGAAAGTCCACCAAGAAGCCGACCTTCGAATGTGTGGAAACCCCCGGTAACGCCCCCAGTGAACCGAGACGAAATGAGGTTTAGAAAGCCAAGCGAAAAGCGGACGTCACTCTTTCCGATTCCCCCGGAAGAGAGGCATGAAAGCCGGAAACCGTTCAGCCCTGTTTACGGACAGTCTTCCCAACTTCTGGACGAGCCCCCGTACCCAGGCAAGACCCTTTCGTCTTCTTCGCTCTTTTCCCAAAACTACACGTCTATTCCCAATGTCATGGCAGAGGCGTATCGGTCCTTAGATTTCCAAAACGTAGCGCGCCCGAACGAGTCGACCACTTTTGCGCCGGCAAGTCCCCTTCCAACCAAGGTGATCAACTGGAGGCACGAAGTGCACCGGTTTGATTACGCGCACCGGCAAGTCGTCATAACCAAGGAGGACAATCGGCATCCCCAGGGGCTGCTGACGTCAAAGACGGAATACATGGACCTCTTGGAATACCAAAGAAGCGGTAGGAGTGAGAACGAACACACAAAAGTCAGCATCAGCCAACCACCTCCCCATTACAGCCTAGATAGATTCTAGCTTTAGGTTGCAAGGACGCAACCTTTCTGTGGAGGGGAGAAGGCAACAGCTGTTGCCTTAAAGTCTGAAAGGTCTCAAAAAGTGAATTGGTCTCGTGGCTCGTGTCAAAAGTCTCTTACAAGTCAAAATGGGCTGAGAACCAGGCTGTATAGCCTGCGCAGTGTAGGCCCCGGCAGTATTGCCTAGCAAGGAGTTCCGTTCCGTTCTGTTCCGTTCCGTTTGGTCCGTTTTGCTTCGGTGTACAGCCTGGCGGTTTGTCTATGGGAGTTCAAGTCGGACGTAGTCCGAGCTGGAGTGGTCGAAGGAAAGGGAAGCAAGTGGCGCGTCCAAGACCAAGTGCGCAAGTCGAAGTGTCTAAGATCGGAGTTGCGCACGTGTAGGAGAAGACACGTGGCAGGTTGTAGATAGAGGCGGAGATTGGGGCAGTGACGTCGAGTAGAATGAAGGAAGGCGAAGGCAGAAAGGAGCGTTTCGTCTGGTAGTGCATCGTCTGGTAGTGCATGTAAGAAAGTCCTGGGCCGTAAGACAAGTCAGAAGGGGATAGGATCAAAACCAAGCGCATCATAAAGACGTGTAATCAGCTTCGATGCGAAAGTAGGTCCTAGGAGGAGACTTGAGAAGTGTGCAGAAGAAACTCAAGAAGATTGTGACTCGTAGGCTCAGGAAAGAAGATAGGGAACAACACAATTCGGGAGGGAAGGAAGAAGCACCACGTTTAGGAGCGCCTCAACTCGTTTTCTCTACACGTCTCAAGCTGCTCTCGTTCGTGTCTCGATTTTGTGCATCATCCAACGCGACAGGCTGCTTGGCGCCTGGCGCGCGCACGTGCTACGTGACTCATACTCATACAAGTCGAGGGGGAAGCACAGTACCCCTTGCACTCTCGCAAATCAGCATACAAAGGCGCGAAGTTCAGTAGCGCCTTCTCTGCATACGTTCGTTTTGGCATAGCACTCATTCTGTGGTGAGCCTGAAGGTGGCGCAAAGACTAGACTACATCAACGGAACCCCCCCTCTCAGTTTTTGAGAGACCGCGCAATCTTAAGGCAACATAGTATCCTTAATTTAATTAAGACTCTACTAAGTAGCGAAGCCTCTATTCGAAGATTCCGAGGAACCTTTTGTTTACGTGAACTCGGTGAGTTCGTTCGCCCGCATAATCCGGGAAGAGTTGGGATGCGACCAGCCGCGGTTCCGCGCAGTCCATTCCGGTCGGGCCGGTACCAGTCCGGCTGGTATGTGGTCCGGCGACGGACTTAGACAATGTGCGCGAGCCGCCAGCGATCTAGGGCCGACAAGTCTTAAGCTGATAGACTTAGACTATGTGCGCGAGCCGCTAGCGATCTAGGGCCGACAAGTCTCAAGTCTAGTAGAGTACCTTCAAGCGATCTAGGGCCGACAAGTCTGAAAGTCTAAGTCGCCCTATCGCATAAGGTTCGGCTGGTTCAACGAATTGAACCTAGCACACGATTTTGGTAGTAAGGGGGAGAGTCGGGATAGAAGCCAAAAGAGTGCAACCGTTACACACCTCCCTCCTTTAATCAACGTCCTCGTTGGTGGAAGCAGAAGCAAAAGCTAAAGCAACCCTATCGGCGTTGACGTTTTGGGTTCTTTAAAGACCTACGGAAGTAGAACCCGACGCGGGACGTTTGCGTGTAACCCGCGCTATGCCGCCTATCTTTGCCGCACCCCGACCCAGGGGAGGGTCGTTAGGCGAAGAAACGGAACGGGCACGCGGCCAATACTCTTTAAGAGAAATTTTGACATCAGTGAGATTTGCGACTGGCTCCCACGAATTATGCTCTCGTCCATAATTCTTCCAGGCGATCCGGGTACCATGCAAAACGACGTTTGCCCTTACGAGTGTACCTATGATCTAGGATCCTATCGACTTTATATTCCAAGGCACCTTCAATTTCGGTTGGAGGTTGCGGGGGCTGGTGTCGCCCGTCGGCTCGATAAGGCTCAATCAAAGAAACGTGAAACACCGGGTGAATCCAATAATGAGCGGGCAAATCGACTTTATAGGCTAAGTTGTTAATTCGCTGGACAACTTTAAACGGGGCCTACGAAACGAGGTAAGAGCTTAATAGAGCCGGTGAAGCGAATATGAAGATTCCTGGAGCTTAACAGCACCAAATCGCCTACCTCATACAAGACTTCACGGCGCTTTTGGTCGGCAAACGTCTTCTGCAGCGCCTGCGCTTGGGCCAAGGACGCTTTAGCCTTGGAAAGGCCCAACGAGATGCGCTCTGCAAAAGAGGTGGCTCCGGGGATCAAAGATACCGGAATGCGCCCAACGGGTGCCTTGGGCTGACGACAAAAAGTAAGTTCGAAAGGGGAGGCTTTAACCGACTCTTGCCAAGCAGAATTATAAGCAGATTTAGCCATAGGCAAAAGAGTGTCCCAATCAAACTAGTCGGCACAAACAAAGTGACGAAGAAACGTTTCCATAGTCCGATTAAGCCTCGTCGTTAACCCATCCGTTTGAGCATGATAGGAACAACTAAGAGCAAGTCGAGTACCAATCAACCTGGTAAGTTCTGTCCAAAACTTCCTAGTAAAACGAGGATTGCGATCGCTAATGAACTTATCAGATAAGCCGTGATGCTTAAAGACATTGTTCAAATAGAGATGAGCGAACCCTATTGCGTCGACTGTCTTGGTGGTCGGGACAAAATGGCCTAGCTTTGTTAAACGATCAACAAAGACCGCCAAAGAGTCAAACCCACGCTCAGTCGTCGGCAAATCGGTTACAAGATCAAAAGAAACACGCTCAAATGGGTCGTTAGGTGTCTGGTTGATTGTAACAAACCGGCAGCGTTTCGTTGCCGAGGCTTATTGCGCTGACAAATAGTACAAGTAAGCACAAAACGACGGACGTCCCCTGTCCGACCGTCCCAACGAGAGAGTTTTTCGACTGCCTTTTGGGTCTTACTTATACTATACCGGTGTGGCCGCCATAATGCGTATCATGATATTCAATCACGATCGTTCGCCGAATCTCGAAGGTGTCGGCGGTGGCAGGCACATAGATGCGACCATCTTCTATAACTAGACTCCCTGAAGTGATACGCAGTCGTCGGCCCGCAACGTTGTTTACATCTCGCAGCGTTGCCGGGTCCTTGGTATACGACGAAGCCAATGGCTTCCTGAAGAAGGAGAGGTAAGCCAAACTTACTTGGATGCGTACGCCTTGTGAAGACCTCGCTGGCAGCTTACACCGGATGGGGTTGGCCGACCGCCACGACCGGCGTGCTAAGCTCTTCATCCCGCAAATGTTTGAGGCAGGCAGCGTCACTCACGGGGAACTGGCTTAACGGGTCTGCAACGTTAGACCTACCAGACCTGTAGACCCATTCAAAGTCAAACCGTCGAAGAAACTCAGACCAACGAGCCATACGCCTGCTCAGATTTTGTTGCGTTTGGAGAAACGTATTTGGACAGTGATCAGTTATGACAGTAAAATGCGTACCTTCAAGGTAGCACCGCCAAACCGTCTTGAAACAATGAATCACAGCCAAGAGCTCCTGTTCACCGGTTGAGTAATTATGCTCAGCCGGAGAAAGCTTTCGGGACTCAAAGGCAACAGGACGTACGATCTTCTTGTAACAGGACCCCGGCAACTCCTAAAAGCGACGCGTCGCTCACCACCGTACATGGTTTAAAGGAGTCCGGCGACACCAAAACGGGTGCTCGACAAAGGGCCTTAATACCAAGAAATGCCTCTTGTTCTCTGGTCGACCATTCAAAAGGCTTATTTGCTCGCGTCAACTCGGATAGCGGCGCAGCAAGAGTCGAGAAGCCTTGAATGAAACGTCCGAAGTAGTTAGCCAAATCAAGGAAGAATCTTACTTGGTGCACATCGTTCGGGATCGCCCAATCAGAGACCACTCTGACCTTGTTGGGGTCTGGTTTGATGCCGTCAACTCCGACGATGTGGCCGAGGAACTTGGTCTCGCTCTGCACGAAAGAACTTTTGTCTTTACAAACATAGAACCTTTTGCGACGCAAGATTTCCAAGACCTTTCGCACATGAGCCTCATGCTCTTCTTCGGACTTGGTGAAGATAAGAATATCATCAAGATAGACTACGACGAAGTTCCGAAGATAAGGCTCAAAGATGCTGTTCATGACAGATTGGAAGGTAGCGGGAGCGTTAGTTAAACCAAAGGGAAGAAGTGTCCATTCGAAGCCTGTGTCCAAAAGGCGTTCTGAAAGCCGTTTTCGGAACGTCGGCTTCGGATATTCGAATTTGCCAATAGCCGGGGTCAGATCCAAGCTGGTAAAGAATTTACCACCCGAAACCGTATCCAACATGTCATCGATACAGGGAAGAGGATAACGATTCTTAACAGACATCTAATTCAACATTCTATAGTCCACGCACATTTCAGACCGCGGTCGTTAGGCTTAGGGACAAAGAGAGTCGGGGCGCCGTAAGGACTCGTGGAAGGCTGAACTTTTAGACCAGTTTCCAAAAGAAACATTATCTGCTTTTTCGCTTCTTTCAATTCCAAAGGTGACAAACGATAGAGAGTGCGAAACGAAGGTGTGTGGCCTGATTTGGAATCCATGCGAACGGTTCCGCTTGGGTGGCAATTCTGGAGGCAGAGGGTCCTGAAAAACATCCACGAAATCCTTCAACATTCTATCAATCAAGAGTCTGGAGGTCTCACCCGGTAGCGGTGGGTCCTTGAGTAAAGCCAAAAACATTGGCTTACCCTTGCGAATTTGTGTGACGATTGGGCGATGGTTAAGTCTAACCGCACAATCGCACGGCAGTTAAACCTTCGGGTTTGCCAGTTTGTCGACGTGTCGGCATGTGGCCAGTATTGACGTGACATAATTAATTGTAATTATGCCACCGGCTAAGATGTATGGTAGGGCAATCATAACGATCAGTTCTCTTCAGTGCTGTTCAGTTGTGATCAGTTCGTTAGTCACTGTCAGTCGTTGGCGTGTCGCACTGTGCTCTACTATGCGGTCGTAAGTAAGCTACCTCAAT